TTCGCTTTTACCACGACATTGGCGCCGCGTCGAGTGCCAGAGGTGCTATTTCACACGATATCGCCGTTCGGATTGTGTAAAGTTAGCACCCCGACATAAAAATTTCATAGTTCCGACCAAAGCTTCAGCTTCTTTTTGAAGAGTTGTATAATTTTCTGATATTTATTTTAAAAATTCCATTAACAGCGTCATAGCTGCATTTGAAAAATGGGACGCTATTTTTACACTTGATTTCGAATGGTCAAATAGTTCTGAATAACTCATGCTTTTTTTTTTAAATACCAGAATTTTTGATTAATAAAAAATATTTGTATTACCGTATAAAAAAAAAAATTTCGCGTTGCGTTAATATTGACGTCAAGATCCAATTATTATCGCTATTTAGAAAAGAAGTAAAAAATATTTCAATGCGTGAGCGCTTGTGCAATTTTTGTGTTTACATCATTGGGTCGCATATGAAATTCCAATCGTAAACGTATAATGGACTTATCCCGTGAACTTAAAGATCTAATTTTATGGATCAAAAATATATTGCGTCACGTCCATAAAAATGAAGCAAATACTCTTAGCTGAAGATGGAAGTAAAAGCATTTCCTTTAAAGTAAAAGCACGAAACAGCATATCCCATATTTTGTATGTGCAACCTTTTCCTTTTACTACGGGACATTCGCTTTGTATTTCGAAATATTTGCTCGTAAACGTCTCTCATCACTTTCAAAAGGTTTTAATATCTTTATTCATATTTCTCGACATACATTTGTCCCGGTAAACAAAAGCAAACGTATTTATTCCGTTTTATTCGTATGACCTATTATCGTGTTTCAAACCGCAAACACGTCGTCGCGAAAGAAGCGGATTTTCTCGCGATGACGTAAGATCGCGAAAATATCCAGCGGAAAGAAACTCTGTCATCTGAAAATTTAGAAGACAGTATCAATTTCAAGAATCGAGCTTCCAGGTCTTTCCCGCCGTCGCAGGCAGCGTCCGAGAAAGTCGCTTATTGAACGGAGAAAGTCAGCCTGGTACGCCAAAGCCATTTTTCCATAGCTTGATCTATGGTATCAATTTGGCCGCGGCGAATTCTTGGTTGACGTTTGAAATCGTTATTTATTACTCGTAAGTCCGCGGAAGGTGGAGCGTCCGTGAACCAAATTGGATCGTGATCGAACGAAAGTGACTTTCGATATAGCGCCCTTTTATATTCAACCGGGCTCGTGTATTTAATTTTTTATAATAATAGATCTGTATTAAGTTTTTTCAAGCGATTTGAACGTTAAAAAACTTTACTTGCCGAAAGCGCACATCTCATATCTTTCGTCGCGAAGATAATTGTAATTAAAATAAGTATGCCTGATGTGTTATTCTAACTTTCGTCACCGCAACTTTGTCCGAAACACTAGTGTCTCTGAGAGGCAAAGACACAGCCTCCAAATGCGTATCACAAACACTGCATAATTGGCAGAGAATTCAACGGGCAGCGCAAAGCGAAATCGTCGACCCGTAAAGCGACACTGTGCTTCCGGTTCGCGTATTCGGCTCTGAAGTCTGAAACGTTATCTCGGCTTCACGGAATCCCGTCCCGAAATATTTTCAAGAGTGAGCACCAGACATCCAGATATTACACGGTTGCTTTTTCCACCGTATCTTTTGCCAAAATGAGAAAGTAAAAGATTACTTTCCTTTTTGAGGATTGTTATTACACGCATAATATCTTATTATATATATAATATGTTATTATCTCTTTCTCTTTTTTAACGTTGCGTTTTCCACGGTGCAAAATATTTATGAAACGATTTTGCAGAAAGCACGTATTCAGAATAAAAAGAGATTATGATCGTGAATTGGACCAATGTCCGCGAGCATTTCATAACAAATATAAACGAGCGATAACGCGGAAGCAAATGAAAATGAGCTAAACATAATTACGCGAAACCCAGTTAACGGGCTTGCATTTCGCGCGAATTCAAAGAAAAATATTTACCCGCGAATCTCAATTTAGATTAAATCGCTATATCGAGAGAAATTATAAAACGCATTCGCAATCACGAAATGTATGCTGAATGCTCCCCCCCTCTCGAAGCGTCGTCGCGAGGCGTCTAAGTATTAGCGGGCGGGACGAATCTACCGCCGCCGCGGACTTTCATCGGATAGAGAACCCTGAAGGATTTCGGAGGTTGGGGTAAGAGCGAACTGCTGTACCATGCAATGGATCGGATTAAATATTATTATGAGGAAGAACGAGACGTGTCGTGCCGCACGGTACAGTCTTCGCTCCGCATTCCATCTCCCTGTCGGTCGCCGCTATCCCTCCCTCCCCTCCCCCCGTTCTCTCTTCCAACGACTCTTTCCTGCTGCCAACCCCCGGCGACGGTCTCCAACACCCATCTTCCCGTTCCGTGGAAGCTGTGCTTGCGCGTTCTGAAACCGAAGTCTCGAAAGTTTGGCCCCTTCCCGACGCTGCCCGCCATCGACTATGCCGCGAGGAATGCATTTTTCATATCCTCACGATATTACCGCTTCCCGTTCCGTCCGCTGTATTAATCGGTCTGGAAAGCGCGGGAGGACGCGACGGGAGGAAAAAAAGTTGCGCGACGACGCGGCGCGAATTCGAGGAGAATCGCGCCACGCGAGTCGCCGCGCACGCGCGCGCGATATATAAGTGAAGAAAAACCGCAAAGATCGGACAAACAGCTGCCTTGAATGCATCTTAATTTCAACGATATTGTATCTTTGGTACATAGACTTTACTTTAAATTTTTTTCTTTTCGACTTTCGACGAGTATTTGTGCAAACTTTGGCGAGTATTTTCGCGACGTAGCCGCGGAAGTGCGCGCGTTACGATCAAAATCTAATTAGCATTCGATCGACTTGTTCTTAATTATATCACGTATCGTAGCGCGGAATACGCTTGATGAAAAGAAATCAACAATGGGTAAAAAGACCAAGTAATTAAAACCGCTCGAGGAGCGAGGCGAGGAGGATACGTAAAGACCATCTTCTTTGACGACTTTTCTCTCGCCGGTCGACGACCGGAATATTCTCGACGGGAACACTTTTCGTATCGAACATTACAGACTCGCAGACGATCTTCGATGAGAGCTGCTTTTGTCCCGGACACGGCGACCGTTCGGTAATTCCACGGAGAGCTCCAATAATTTTGATATGTAAATACAAGGTGGAATCCTTGTTTCGCGGTATCGGTCTGATTAAAATATCCCGAGCGCTCGGATTACCGCGAACTCGTCGCGGGAGCTGTCCCAGCCAGACATCTTATCCCTACTTAGGGACCTCTCCTCCCGATCGGAATAGTCGGATGAGCCAAGTGAGCCTTCGTTATCGAATCGTCGAGAACAGTCGACGAGCGATATGCGCGTTTAGCAAAATCGTGTCGAATCTCAAATTGCGTTTGCTTTTTTTCAAGCGACCGGCGCAAGAATTTCTATTAAATGCACGAAGCAATTGCTCGCTTGATGTTATTGATTATATTCCTCGCGCGCAATGCTCGACAGCCGCCAGTAATTGGCAATAATTGCCTTATAGTTTGCATTTTTTGTCGATGTGGGAGAGAGACGCGCGTAACCGCGAAGAGAGAAGAAACGCGTACTTTGACACGGAAAATTGAAAGTGCTGAGATGCAGCGCTACGTTGTGTGTCCGCTGAATAATAATTAGCACCGACGATTCGTCGAGTATTCGGACGTGCCAAGATCTTCATCTCGCGATTCTTCTGATATCGAATTTCCCTCCCACTCGAGTTTCGCGCGGACGCGACGACAGAATTAAAAAAGGGCGCGCTGACTTCGATGAGGGTGAATGAACAATTAATAGTGGGAGCAGGAGGGGGAGTGATTCAACGCCGGCGGACGCCGTGGAGCGAGCCGGGACAGTGAAACGCGGGGGCGGCGGTCGGGGTTATAATGACGAGGCACTAAATAACAGCGGCGACCGTTAAGAAATGACGAGATAAAAACCTTCGTGGATCGTTAGCGAGCGTCCCGGCCATTTCTTATTCTTCTCTCCGCTCGATCTCTCCCTTCTCTCTTTTCCGCCGCTCTTTTATGCGAAATGGACTCCTTCGCTCCTCGTCGAATATTTCTCTCTTCTCCCGCGTCGGTCCTCCGCCCGCTACGCTCCTCCCATTTTCTCTCTTTGCCCTCGTCTTCCTACTCAATTCTCGCGCCCCTTACAGAAACTTTTAATGTAATTGCCGCGGGACGTGAAAACCGCTGATACCGTTACCCCCGCCGGCCCGGAGAAATCCGATCCGTGAAAATAAGTCGAGATAGCGGCCGCTCTTTCCCCCCCGGTGAAATCCCACCCACTATTCGCCCTTTTTCTCGGTCCTTTTCTCGCCAAGCGCCCCTCTCCTCGAAAAATTGTTTCATCTGCTCCTGCCGAGTCCCGTTTAATTTCCACTCTCGAGACCGTCCCTGATAACGTCACGAACGTCCTTTTCTTGAGAATCTATCTCCTTTCGCGCGCCTTTATCATGAGCTTTTCATGATTCCTTTCCTCCCCAAAAACCCTCCGGGTATTTTTCTATATTATATATTTTATACTTGCGTTTAGCATTCATTAGCAATTCTGTATTGTAAAGAGAAGGGTTTACAGCCGTTCTGAAAATACAACGATAAAATTTTCGATTTTGCTGTTGTAAAAGGCGGAATCTTGGTCGAGTAAAACTTGTGATATTCAAACTGGAATAAAACAATTGTTGTTCCACGTTATCAAAACATTATACAACACTTTACTCTAGTTTGAATATCGTAAGCGCTGCTCTAATCGCACACGCGCGGATTATAAGCCAGGAGAGCGTCGCTCTCGGCTGGTCGTGATATCCCGAAGACGCCCGGACGCCGACGATACCGAAACACCTCTAACGATATTATTACGCGGTTCATTTAAGTTAGATAACAATGACTCTATATAGCCATCTCGGAGCTGGTGCAAGGAGGGAAACAGCTACCATGGTACAATATCCGCCACATCTCTCGCTTCCAGCCTAATTACTTTCCGGCCTCCGGCAGCGACGGCGGCGGCGTCAGCAACGAAGCAGCGGAGAATGAGGGTTAGGGCCACCTCCATCGACCCCACTCAGCGAGCTACCTCTGACCCAACACGGCGTAAGATGGGTAAGGTAAGTAGATAGGCACGACGTATCCAGGTTGAGCCACCTGGCCGGCTCGGTGGGGCGGCCGTCTATTCGCGTAAGGAAGAGAACGAGAGAGAATTCCTCCTTACCGTTCTTCTTTTGTTTTATTTCTTATACCCCAGTTTAATTAGTTCCCCGATAATACTCGCTATCTCTCCTCCGCAGAGCGGAGGAACCTCACTCCGCCGGAGCCGAGAAGCCCGCCCGAACATACCGACCCGTCGGTCCACCTCGATCCGTCCGCCCGGCATCCCCCGTAGCGTTCCGCAAGCCGACCGATCGGCGAGCCATCTCCGCCATTGAATCTAATTTCGACGATCGTTTCTGCGGGCGATATTTTCTCCATGTGCTTATATTCCGCAGGCTGTCGCTGACGCGAAAAGATAACTCGACCGACTGACAAAGATAATTCAAAGAAAATTGCGAAAGTCTTGCAGAAACTTTGCGAAAATGTCACATTTTGGCAAAAATGTTGTTCAAAGGATGAAAACATCCTTTCACAAAAAACTCGATATCTTTACACTTTTCTGAAAATTATATGATGTGCTGCAAAAATATTTAATATCAAATTTCATGGTTTTTTCCTGATTTTGGAATTTTTTAATTTCTGATAAGAGATTTAAAAAAATAAAATTTTAACATAACATTAACCATCTACTTGCTCAATTTTTAATTATCATTGGATTGTTGGATCCAATCTATTTCTCTTTTGTTTCTTCATCTTGAATTTCGCGCTTTCAACGTCCATATTGTATAGGGTTTTGGGTATTGATTTGGTCCATGAATTCTAGGTTAGTATGTTTCAGATGAGCTCAGAGAGCACGTGTTCTCGATGTGTAGTTGACCATGACACATTTTTATTATAATTTTTATTGTGATACGCTTTATCATGGATTATTTTTATGATCTTCGAATCTTAGGATATTCTTGTTCTACAAAGTAAGCAATATAAAACCTTTTCTTTACTTTATTTTATTTTAGCTTATTGTAAACTTTGAGCCTTATTTTTAACGCTGATTTTTATTTACTGTTGTTTCTTCATCTTTTGCTTGAGACTTCCTCATTTTTTGAGAAATTAATGGTGTTGTAACTTTTAGATCAGTGATTACATTCAACGTTCATCTCGCATACGTATATTATTTCTTAATTGTGTCATTCTAAACAAGCAAATTAATTTTATCAATATGCGCTGAAAAATTAAAATTGCTATACTCTTTTCTTAACTTTTCCTTCTTTCGTTCGCACAACTTTACCAATACACCCACTGACTCATCAGAGAAAATATTACGTTTGCGGCTGATCGATTGATAATTCAGCAACGCGCCAGAATTACAACATGGCAAAATTTACGAATCTCTCCCCCGAGTGAATATAACTTTACGAGACGAAATTCACGAGGTACCGTCGATCGAAGGCACCGGTCGGCCGAAACGCCAACAATAACTCGCGCTTTCCGTACGAGCTACGTAGCCGATTTCCAGGCAAGCTTCCAACCGGGAAACGATTCGGCCTGTCCAAGTCGTATGTTTGTTTTGGAACAGCCGCAATGTGCCGGCCGTTCTCTCCTACCATCGTACGGGTTGCCGCCGCCGCCGCCGCTATCTCCCATTGCCACCCATCGTCCATCCGATATGTAACCCCTCTCCCGAGAACGGCGGCGGTGGCCGCGGTAGCTCCGGTGAAAGAGCACCCTTTCGGGGTTTGTGATGCGTGCAGATGGTCGTGCACAGGGAAATCACGCGTGACTGCGCGCAACTGTACGGCCACTACCGAATGCGAAACGTTCGGTCGACCGACGCCAATTAGGCCAATGACGCTTCGTGCCACCTATGATAATGGTAACGCTCGCCTCACCACCCCGATGCGACCTGTACGCGCCCCCGGCAATGAGATGCCAAAGGGGGCAACTGGGAGCGGTGATCGTTGCCGTGATCGCGGCCGCGTGAAACGTTATGTCCTACAAGAACGCGCCACATTTGTTTGTTTCGAAAAATTACGACGCGCTTGGTTTATTTCATATCCAAATAATGAATTTCGATAGTTATATTTGAATCGATATAATATTGAAATTCTGCTCTCGCTAATAATTATTTAATTATCAACAAAAATATATATGTGTGAAAAAATTCCACGCTTCGATTTCATAAAGATATAGTTTTAACATTTTTCTTAATTCAGTTGTTTCTTATTTCAGCTTCTTAATCAGTTGTAAAGTTAATATCGCATATTTATATTCAATATTTATAATTAGAATAATCTTTGCAATGGTTTTCATAATTTTTTAACATTTTCCATAATTTTAGCACACTTGTGCAACGTAAATTTTTATTCTATTTACATACTTATAGATTATTACTTGTTATCTGTGGTTACATTTTATTTATGATTTTAATTCAGAATACATCAAACAAACATAACTTATCTATAAAATATCTTTATTTCTCTACAAATACAATATAATTCTACTCAATTTATCTTATCAGTAATTATCTCTGCATTGTTTAGTTATGCAAACAACTCCAAAATAGCGTACTTTACCATTACGCAGTTTTAGTCGAAAAAGTAGACGACACAAATGAAAACGGAAATCATCCAATGAGATGTCGAAGTCAATTTTAATAGTGCCGATCCTGTGGTTTGTCGTCGATGCTGCTCGCATACTTGGAGTCTTCCCAGATATATCTTACAGCCACCAGGTTTTTCTTTTTTAATTTTGCCAAATTATAAAATTATTCTTTAAATTACAAAGTATAAAATAAGTTTTTTTTTAGATTTTTCTTCAATATAGAAACGGATATTTATTTCAAAACATCTATAAAGTCTCGTCTTAATCGATAAAACATGAGAATTTTTTGTTGAGAACAATTTTTGTTAGAATAGCTTTACGCGCGGGAAATAAATCACGATTTAAGGTTTCTTATAAATTTCTTTTTAATCTTTCTAAAGTTTTTCTGAATTTTTTGATAAAATGTTTGAAAATATAATAACTAACATTCACCCATATTCGTAGGTGGCCTTTAGACCATTAATGATGGAATTATCGCAAAGAGGTCACGATATAATCATTTTTACAACTTTCCCTATGAACAACTCCACTCTTCAGAATTACACCGAAGTGGAATTGTGTTTGACTAGTTCTGTGCAAAATATCAACATATATTCAATAAATAGACTCTCAGAGCTTCTACGGGCATTAAATGTGCGCAGCGTGATAATCAGCGACGAAACGTTATCCCATCCTGTCATGCAGCGACTTATATCGCCGAACAGTGGCGAGAAGTTCGACTTGATCATCGTCCAAAGCATCTTTTATGATTCACTTTACGCGTTATCAGTACGCTTTAACGCTCCGATAATCGCAATTTCATCAATACCATTGTTATCTTGGCAGCACTTCGTGTTCGGTAGGCAGAATGTGTTTATTATCCGTGAAACGTCATGTAATTATTATTACACCATCAGAGAGAAAAAGAGTTAAAGCTCGTTATTGGACTTTTCTTATATCGTAGGAAATCCTCTGTTGGCGGCTTATTCACCGAACTCATTAACGAACTTGGACGAAAATATGAATCTGTGGGAACGTTTCGTCAATCTGTACTCATCCCTTTATCAGATATACTGGTATTGGTACGAGCTCATCCCTGCACATGAAAAGATCAGCAGGAAACATTTCGGGGATAGCGTGCCGCCCGTCCATCAACTCATTTCAAATATCACTCTGTTGCTGTCGAATTTTCATCCGTTCATTTATCCTCGCGCAAACATTCCTGCAATAATTCCTATAAGTGGATACCGTCCAGTGTCGCAGAAAGAAGGCCTGCCACAGGTAGTTATAAACCAAGCAACGTAATGTTACGAATGCCATGAGATTGCGTTATGATATCTGCTAATGTTGAAAAATATTTTCAACATATTTTTGGTACAAAAGCACATTATTGCAAGAAATTTCTAATATACATTGCATTTCTATTATTTGCGCTACAACGTTGATTTTTAGATCAAAGCAAATTTATTTAAAGCGAAAAAACACTCATATTTTCGAATCCATTTCAGGATTTGGAGAAAATATTGAACGATGCGAAACAAGGATACGTATATTTCAGTTTGGGCTCAAACATTAAAAGTAATACGTTGTCTGATGAAAGGCGTAACATGTTGCTACGAGCTTTTGCGAAATTGCCGTATAAAGTATTATGGAAATTCGAATCCGAATTTCTTCCGGATAAACCTAATAACGTCATTATTAGGAAGTGGTTGCCGCAGCAAGAAATTTTAGGTTCGTAATTTTTAACGTGGAGTTTGTGTCTGAGATACACAATTCTACAATAGAGGAATTAAATCATAATAGCGCTTTTGATATCCGCAAAATATTGCTTTTATTTGCGAAAATATGTCTAAAAAATATTGCGTTTTTGATCCGCAAAATATTGCTTTTATTTGCGAAAGTATGTCTAAAAAATTTTACGCGGTGAAAATAATAGTTTATCTTATTAGCACATCCGAACATACGACTCTTCGTCTATCAAGGAGGACTGCAGAGTACCGAGGAAGCGATAGGAAACGGAGTACCTGTAATTGGCTTTCCCTTTTTCGCTGACCAATTTTACAATATAAAAATGCTCCTAGTTTTTACAACGGGAAAGATGTTATCGTTCAAAAATACCAACGAAGACGAATTCCGAGCAGCCATACTTGAGGTCATTACGAATTCCAGGTAATAAGTTAATGAGACGAAATCTTTTTTTAAAATGAACTTACGTCTATCTTTTAAAAAATATGCGTATCCGATTCTCTGATGTTTCTAATGTCAGAATAATTAACTCGTTTGCCTGCTGTCTTTTTATCCTTAGTTATAAAGAAAACATGCTGAAAATGCGAGACCTGTTGCGAGACCTGCCATACGATCCACTCGACAATGCCGTTTGGTGGACCGAGCATGTCATACGTCACAAAGGAGCGCCACATCTTCGAAATAAGTCACGAGATATGCCCTGGTACCAGATTCTGCTGTTAGACATAATGGCAGTTGTGATCGGAGCAATTATTCTCGTTGTACTTGTTATCATTGTATTTCTTGCAATGATTAAACGTTACTTATTTAGGATTAACAAGCAGCTTTTGCCAGCAAAGAAACGGCCAATGCACAACGCGAAGAAGCAACAATGACATTTTCGAGGGCTGATCAAAAGGTAAAACTTCTTGTAGTATCCTGTAGTAATTTTCTATATAATAAATCTACACTACAATTTTCTATGGTATTATTTTATATGTATTATTATGTCCGAGATTCTCGCGATCGCATACGTGCGAAATGAATATAACACTTTTATAATAAAACAGAGAATCTTTAATAACGCAATCAACGTCCGAACAACGAGTTAATAAATCAATATATTCGAATTGCAATACAATCGCGCGAAAGCGTTCGTACGCGGCTCGCAAAAACCGACTCTCTTTTTTTATATTGCTGACTAGTTGCCTCGGGGATGAAATCTCTCTATTTTTATTTTTCTTTATATTGCAGCAAAACCGCCGATTTTTCGTTCTCAATCGAAGCGAATGCAACAGTATTTAGAACAATTTTATTTCTCTTTGCGACAGCAATTCTGTGAGATTTTATCCGAAAACAATAATAATAACACTATGATTTTGCTTTTATTAATCCTAGCATAGTGCGCGTAGCAGTTTTATAAATCTAGTGGCAAAAGTATCGCAAAAACGTAAGACACCATGGTGATGCAGAATAATTAATTTTTCTTGAGCTCTTACAGCATTTAATAATGCAATTAAACACTCGATTTTATAAATTATGACATTATAACTCGTGTAAAACAAATCAGGGAATATTTATGGATAAATTATATCCTGTGGTTACGAGGTATCGAAATAATCCTCTGAACTCTCCCCTCTCTGCGGCACAAATTTAAATTTAATTTCATAATAAAATGCTGCGAATGGTCTCTCTTTCCATGAGTTTCCATTCACAATTTCTGGTTACGATATTCAAAATATTCGCTGGAAAAATTGCTCGCTCCTGCCGGCACGTCCATTTCGGCGGGAAGGGATGAGGAGAAGGGGTGAGATAGGCGTACGTTTCAATAGCAATGAGCCGCGAAATTGCTTTACGCAATCGGCCATTATTTGCTTGAAAATTTTGCCGCGTATCCGCGAACGACTCGCCGTTTGATATGATACGAATATTATTCAATGTGCATCGCCGAGCGCGTTTGATTGCGCGCCGATCGCGCAATTATTGATGGTACAGCGGCGTGAGGAGGGCCCTTTTGCCGTGTAATAAAACGCGACCGCAGATGCACATATGCGAACCGCGTGCGTACTTACACGCGTACACGCGGTTATCGCGCTCGTATCTCTGCGTAAACGTGAATCGAAGAAGCGAGTAGAATCAACGAGCAGTGGCTACAATGCAACGAGGCGATTAAAATTTTATGAAACTTGTTAATATTATATTAATATTTAATATGAAATATATATGCGCCGTTATTAGTGATGAAAATTTTAAAAAAACCTTAGATAAAATATTGGAAAAGTATTTTGCAGATACGAACAAAAATAATTTTCGCAGTAAAATTGCTGCTCATTCGACAGTGATTGCGTAAGCAACGCACTGTTCAAAAATAAACAATATACGATGAATGTTTCATATTCAGTTGGCTTGTGAATTTTCCCGGAAAGCAGTAAGCGCGCGCGCCACATGCTATATTCTCGAATTAATATTATTAGGCCTTTGGGCCATTCCCACTCGTTGATCATTCTCGCTCGCGCGTGTCCTATCGCGACTGTCATTCTTCGTCCATTTTACAAAAAAGATGTGATTCTAGCAGTTTTAAAAATTTTGTGTGGGATATTAGTCCATAATAATAATGCTGCGTCGTCGTTTCGATATTGATCTCTTGATAGTTTTATTAATTTGAAAGCATATAAGACGTACGCGTACAGGGTGTACAAATGTAAAAAGCGGACAACAAAAAACAAACTGTTAAAATCAATGAAGTAATAGTCTTCCTTGCAGAACATATCAAAAATGATTAAATATTGATTTGACAGGCTTTCAACCGAAATATTTGAAAGTCATCCCTCTCAGATTTATTTCGCGCGCGTCATCAAAACACTTTAGTCCCTGCTATTATCAACGATAATTTATCATTGTGCGTGCTTTCCATCGCTTACTCCGACATCTTGAGAAAGAAATTTTTACACGCGGCGAAAAGAGATCGGCGCCCTCACGAAATGGATGTTTGACAGTATTAAATGATACAGCCCTCTTGTAGCATCAGGCTACAGATTGCCAAATATGCTGTCTGCAAAATTTATGGAAATATATATATATGTTCAATATGTAACTCGATTCGTTCGAAACTTGACAGCGACTCCTTTGGAATTGCAAAAATATCATATTGCGAGTCGCGTCCAATATGATTTGCGATGAAAAACGATTCGTTCTTTTTTTTTTTTTTCGTTATTCGAGCACCATCTTATCGCAGCCTCCTTCGATAACGTCAAGTTCGAGGTCTGTGTTAAGAGGACGAGAAAGTACAGACGGAGAGTGTAAGGGAGCAGCGGCGGTCGGGCTGAAAGGGGCGAATACCTTTTAGGAGCTTAGAGATTACACTTGGGGACGAGCTAGCAGTAATGCAAAGGTGAGTCTCGCGGGCGCGCAAGCCGCTCATTCCCACGAAGGATTCGACTGAACTTATAATACCCACGATGTGGGATCGGTTGCGGCACACGCTTCGCGCAAGCTCGTCCCCCCTCCGCGACACCCCGTGACCGACTCGTCGCTCCTCTCTTCTCTCGCGCTTGACGCATTCATAATTCAATATCAAATGCTTCTCTCAATGAGCCTCGTTAGAGCCTGCGAAATTACACATCCGTTATCAATCAATTACGGATCCGATTTATTGCCGCTGGACTGGGAAGTCTTCTTATCCTTATTGATTATGGAATAGGCAGGCAATCGGACCGAAGCGAATTGCTCTGGAGAAGTAATAAGAATAAACGTAAATAAATTGAATGAGTACTTCTTGGTAATACGATAAGAATGTACGATCAAATGTTTCACAGAAATTGCAATGTAATTTTCTTATTGCAAAGAAAATTTTCTTATTGATATTCAAATGCTCATAGTTGGCATAATTCTATATTTATGAATTTCTTCCATGCATCAGGCATTTCTGCTTATATATATTTAGACAAGAAAGCCGAAAAGCTTTCGGAAAGTCGTTATTAAAATATGTATTTATTATAAAAATAATTATTTAAACAATCATTACGCTTATCTACACTTTAATTTCTTGATAACAAATTTTTTGGCTGTATTTAAAATGTAAAGACTATTTTTTTAACTCGCCATCGTGTATATTATTTCTTTCTCAATTTGTAGCGTAATTAATTCTTTGGTTGCGACGGTTGATTAAATTGAATGCAAAATTAGCCATATCCTTCCTCTATGTATAAACGCGACCGCGTTACGCCCCGAAATCCTTACCCTTGACGAAATCGCGACGAGGCTTGTCATTTAATGCGAGAGATACCTTGAATAGCAATATCCATTATCGCGGAATTACAGTCGAACGGACACCTCGTTTCATCGTGATCGGATTAGGCTTTGTAGGGGAAGCGAGGGAAGCGCGCGCGAAGAAGGAAGGCGTGGTTAGCTGACGGGTCGCGTGAAAAAGGAAGCGGGAAATTTCTCAAAGCGGGGAAAGTATCACGTCACGGGAGACGGGAGTGATATCGCTTTAATCTGCCGCGAGGAAATCTTGTAAATAATCGAAGCAATTATCCGGCTCGGTGGCACGAAGACGACGGCGATTCTGCAAAAGAGATCGGCGCAACTTTTCTGCGCGTGATGAGGAAGAGCGAGAGAGAGGGGACACTTGATTCGATTGCGCATAACAACGAATTTATTAATAATATATACATATATGTCACGCAATTGAGAATCGAGTCGACATTGCGAGCCTCGAACAAAGGTCAAAGGTCAGATTAAGATATCAAGTGGGTGCTGCTTATCAAATAATAACAATTACAAAGCCGAGACGGAAACCCCGAAATTATTCGAAACGCAATTTGCGGCGAAATATTTAGCATGCGAAAGCGCTCAAACCCGCGAACGATTAAGCGAGATTTCAATTACACATCGTAAGGCATATCTCATAATTTACTTACGTCCCCGCGATCGCGGCGCGATTGCAAATACCCGACGTGTACACACCTACTCGCATTAACAATGTCTCCTCTCGCCGTCTCTTTGCCGTTCTCACAGTCGCTCTTCCCAGACAGTGTCGCGTATTCATGTGCAACAATCCCGGATCCTGTAATGTGCCCGACGAAAGCTTTCCCTGCATGAATACCCAAGTATGCAAATGTCTCCGCGCCGTTAGACGTTTCTCGTCGCCTTCGAGCGTCACTCGAGAGTTCTTGTTGTCGATGCTCTCCCTCGCGGAGTTGCGCAGCATCGCGCTGCTTGCTTACGATACCGCACTAATTACGTTTATATTTTAAAAGAAAACTACAGTAATCTGTAAAGCGTGCAATTCTTTGTTACAATTACAAGGACAATATTTTGTCGATAACTCGTTTCGAGAACGCAGCCAGCTTCTCAAATTTTCGCGTGCAATTCTAAAATGCAACACTTTATCTGTTTATACCGAAATAATCGAACAATGATTAATTTCAGTAAATACTAATTCAGCAATTATGATCGGTCATTTTCCGACTATTATGGACATAATCGTTTTGTTTGAATTTTAGCATTAGAATTTTTTTCCAGCTTTCCCAAGTTTAATAATAACAAATCATATATTCACACACCAAATTGAACATCATTACTTCAAATTGTCACATATTTAATACATATGATAAAAATTTGTGATTGAATGATCGTCTTATTCGCAATGTCACAATAGATTTACGTTGAACAAACGCTCATAAATTCAAATAAATGCCAGATCAATGCTATCCGTAATGTGGACGCGGGTAGACCGGGGCTTCGATTCGCGCTTTGATCCTGCAGTATTTATATTGGCCGTCTTTCGGCTGTGCCGCAGAAAAGGCGTATGCCTCCTGGGACGCTGTGGCATCCCGTTGGAATACACCCGGGGGTGCGCGGAAACGCATCCTGGAAATCGGAGAGAGAATGAGTTCTTGACGGTAGTCGGGGCACGTCTCGCAGGATAGAGAGAGGAGCGGACTCCGTCGTCGCCGTGCACTCGTGTGGACACGCGTCGTCGTCATCGTCGTCGTCGTCGTCGTCTGCACGCGTGTCGGGCGGGGGAGGGAACCGGGCCGAAATCAACGACAATAGAGAGAAACGCGCAGCATTCACGTTCCGCACTCTCGGGGATGAGAAAAGCGGATAAGCAGCCATACTAACGAGACCGACGACGATGCACGGAGAGATCACGTCCGGCGCGCACGTCGCCGGCCCGTTCCCGTGGAGAAGAATGGGAGGAAGGGCCGATCCTTCGGCGCGGGCGAAAAAAGGATGCAGGAGAAAAAGGGTTGACGTACAGGGGGAAACGGTCGGGAGGGCAGGGGGGAGGAAAGAACGTGGAAATCGTACCACCGTAGGCGCCGCTTTCGCGATTCGCCTTCTCGATAAAGTAAATAAGAACGTACCGACACGTACGTCGCGTGTACGTGCGAGGCAATAACAGGCGCTCCCTCTCTGCCCTCCCCCCTTCACCCCTCCCCAACCCCGCTGAATATTTTCTCCATTGTACACCCAACTCTGTGTTGCCTCTCTTCAACTTCTTCGTCGCTTCTTTGTCCCGCGTGCGCCCGCGTCGCTTCATCACGTCGACTCGCGCGATATCGGCGTGCGCGCCGGCCGACCGACACACATTGCGAATCAGAAACACGGTGAAACTACGCGCCGATAAAATTTCGGTCTTGCCACTCGAGGAAATATTGTTTCCAAATCTTATTTCACGTGGGAAGCTTTCTTATTGTGTTAATTAATCTAATTACGAAAATAATGGAATTGAGAATTGCATTTTCTAGAAATCTATTCGCAGAAGTTTCGATGCGCATCACTTGTAAAAAAAGTGGGGAGTCTTTCAAACAAAGTAAATATTGCAACACACACAAACTAAGATTTGCCAACGTAATTTAAAATGACAGTTTATAACTAATTTTTTATCTTCTCGCAGAATTTTTATAAATAAATTTTGTAGTTTGATGAGGCTCCGAAAAACGTATTAACGTTTTGGCGAGAAGATCCGTATTAGATGTAGACGTCAAGGATGTGGAACAGCCGCGATTGGGAACCGCTATCGAATTCTTGGCTTATGACGGTTCGCGCACAGTTCACGATCTTGAAGCCTAGAATTTCAAGGGTCCCGTTCCAGGCTTTCGCTCATGGCCACGATCTCGCGGAGCATCGTAGTCCAAATTGGTACGAAGTGATCCGTGGCGGGTCGTACCGCTCGCGCTTCAACCGTTTCGGATTCCTCGGACGTCCGGGATCGCGTTGACTATGCAATTTTGCGGCTTCATACCCGAGAAAGCGCGGAAACCGAAAGCGTACTCGTCGAAGTCTCCGGATATTCGTATATATTTCACGTGAAGATTCCGTGGCGTAATATCGTCCGTTGCGTCGCTTGCTTGATGATAAATTTTATTCCGACAAATGTTTTCTAATAGAAATCAATTTATTGAAATTATAATTTCACATTTACTTTGTATGTCCGTGCATTTTCGACAAACTGATATTAATTACATTACGCGAAAGTGAAAGTAAATTATGGAACTTGGCCGCAAATTTTGTATAAGAGCATTTAGCTACGATTCGCACTCTGCAAACATTAACGTCAAAGAGACGTGAAAATGATTTGATTGGAGAGACATTACCTTTGACTGACGATGACACATACGCGAATACTCGCGGAAACTAGATATGTCACGGGAAAACAGCATGACACTTTAATAACGCGGTAAACAAAGGGGGTTAAGTAATTGTCTGCGCGATGTCAGGGCCAAAAGCGTGTCGCGCAAGCACTCGCCGGCACAATGGCCGGTCGGCGGGGAAGCTGGTAATTAGTTTCAATGTACCCGCGCGACACATAAATAAAGCAGCCGCGGCGCGGGCGGATCGTAAGCATGAAATATGATCGGCAGCGCGCCGATCTTTTCATCAGTTTATGCACGGCGCGCGATTCGCGATGCGTTTACACTAGAAGGGGGGGGGTGTAAAGCCTTCGTTTACTCTTCCGTGTGTTCTATGTAACTAGGCATTAACGAGGTCAAACCACCGCCGCGGCGGCGGCAACGGTCGGGCAAAGCAATGAAAACCGCCGCCGCCGTAAGCGGCAACCGCCACCCACAGATCCTGGGTATGGCGAACGGAAGTAATCCTCGTAGTGCCATAAACGCGAGCGTAGATCACCTTGCGTGGATAACATCCGGCCGAGGATCGCCTACTAGCCGGAGTGAGCGACCGGCGGACCTTGTGCACTTGAGATCTTTACGAGATTTTGCCCCATAAAGCATAGTAGCAGCTGAGGAACAGTTTCTCCTCCTTATCCCGCTAATGTGATCCTTTGTGCTCCGCGCGAACAAATTTACAGAGCACACCTACTTTTCATCTAAGACAAATTAATCTTGATATCTAGAACATTTGATTTTTGAACGTAAATAATGACGGAAATTCGTTTTAATAATAACGATATTTATTTTTTATTGTAGTTATTTCATAAAAAATTAATTTTTAAATACCGCTTGTAAAACATGTCACAAATCGCATGTAATAATACTCACTTTCGGAGCAAAAGTTTTGGTACAGATGTCTTATTGTCGATGATATTTGTTGAATGAATATTTTGAAGCGCGTAAGCATATGATAATAATTATAAATTTATAAAGCTCACTTTTAATGATATATTCGCAAAATTCGATATAGAATTCTATTAGTAATTTTATATGTGTAGAGAAATATTTAAAAAATCGGAATACATGAAACTTGCAGGATGTATATCAGTACTCTGTATTTTCGCAAATGTGTATTTTGATTATTTAAATGCATAAAATTGCATAAAATTACAAATTAATTTCTATTTGAATTCTGAAATTACAAATAAATCGCCTAAAGCAAGTTAACACGTTCCGTGCCGCGTGGCTCACGCTTGATCATTCAAGCTGTTTAAAATAAAATATTTTATATTTCTTATTTGTGTGTGTGTGTGAAAGATTTATATAATTGTAATCTTATAAACATATGTAATAAATTTCACGACGTAAGTGAAAAGTCACGTAAAATCAGAATGGCACAGAATGCGTTAAAGCAATGTATCTATGTATATAATTCTTCGTTTTTCAGAGAGATTGAAACACAATTCTGACAAGAATATCAATATCTCGAACACTTAAAATACAAAAAAAATGAAAGGCTCCATGAAATGATATATAGAATATTTCCTTTATAATTTATTAACTTATAACGATTAATATAAATCTCGGTCATTTTTTCGGATATCTTCCTCACAATCTTCACGCAATTTTCTCGCACACCCCGTTCGAACGCCATGATCCGATCGTCGTTCCCCTTCGACTCGACTTAAAAGTAAGATATAGTCACTCTCTGTACAATATCGTCTAAAATCATCTTCGTCAAGTTTCCTCCCGCTCCCACTCCCAATCCGCTTCCTCCGATTTCCTCCTGCGGTCGGTCTTGTAGATTTCGTCTTCCTCCTCCTCCTCCTCATCGGGCCAATTAAATCTCGTGGAATCCTCGTCGGTCTCAGATTTTGAGCTCTGCCTGTGATCTTCCTCGCGCGTCGCTCTGCTGTACTCCGTCGAGACCGAGTCCGTCTCATCCGTGCCGGATTTCGAGCTGGCTCTATTGTCCTCTGCGTCGGTACTGCCGCCTCGCAGCATCACGGCACCTTCCGCTTCGTCGTCGGCGAGCGAATCGACGTCGTCGGACTGCTCGCCGCTGCGCTCGCGCTTAACCGGCGACGCTCCTTGCTCTTTCGCTCTTGCCTCGGATTGCGCCTCCTTGGGATCCTTTATCGCGTACGCTGAAGATCCTTCCTCCTCTGACCTGGATTTCTGCTCCTGCCAGGCTTTCTTGAAGGGATGCTCGCGCTCCTGCTGCACCAACTTGGGTCTCTCCGGCAGGAGGTACTCGGGGTCCTCCTCGCTCGCCTGACTCTTCACGATGGACTCCCGCTTGAATAATCCCGTCGACGCCGGTCTCGCCGGAGGATCGCCTTCTTTCCGCGCCGCATTCCACGCGGCGCTCACCAGCTCCTCCTGCGACAGTTTCGACAGATCCTGCAGAGATTCCTTTTTGCTGTCCTTCGTCAGTACGAAGTTGTAGTTGGCTTCTTCCTCCTCTTCCAGGGACGTCTTCTGACTGCCGCTCGTGTAAGACTGCCTCCTCGAAGTCTCCTGGCTACTTTCCTCCTCGCTCTGGCTCTCTTCTCGCGAGGGCGGACCCTGCTCGCGATAGTCCCTGCGTCGCATGTAAATTGCGTCGTCCTCGGTCTCGCTCGGTTCTTGAGAAGAACTGAGTAACGTGAATTGCGGCCCAACGCTCACGGTCCACGAGTCCATATTGTCTTCGACCGAGAGATCGTCGCTCAGCAGCGCTATTCGACCCTCCGCGGAAGATCTGCGCTTCAAGGGCTCCGCGTTGCCTTTAGCCTCCTCGTCCTCGGCCGGCTGCTGAGTGACCAGCTTATCCATGAACTGCTGTCTCCGTATCCTCAGCTCGTGCTCCCACTCCTCCTCGTCGCTCGTCCTCGCGTCGGAGCTCGGCACGCGCTCCGGCTGCGTTCTGCCGCGAGTCGACGAGCTCTCCTCGCTTTCGGAGGAGAACGCTCTCCTCGCGACGTCCGCTGATCTCGCAAGCGAGATCGGCTTCGCCTGTCGCGATATCGGTTCCTGCGGCTCCCTGGCCGACGGACTTTCCTTCCCGACGAATTCCCAGGAACGATGATCGTCCGCTTCTCTGGCCGACGTTCTTCCTCGCGATTCGGATCTTCTAAACTGTCTCGCGTCGTCGTCGCTCTCCCTCTTGCGCTGCCGCTCTTCCTCGCTCTCGCTCTCTCTCGACGATAATCTCTTGCTGTCTTTACTTCTCGAACGCCTGCTGCGCTGAGTCGCGATCTCGCGCTCCCGCTGACTTCTCAGCAGCTCGATGGCTTCCTCTTCGGAATCGTCCGTCGCGTATCTCTGACCCCTCTTGCCGCGCTCCGTGTTGTTCTCCGTGTTGTCTCTGGACGGTCTTTTAGCCGTCGCTTTGACCCGATCTCCGCTCGACGCGTCCTCGGCGTTGTACGTTTCGCGATCGATGAACGACATTCGCCTTCCATTCGCCTTCTTTAATATCGGCACGTCCATTATTTCCTCCTCCGTGTCCTGTCGATCGAGAATCGTAGCACCGTGAGCTATATCCTTCTGCCAATCCCAACCAGTGGACGCGATTTCGTCGTCCTCGAAAACATTCGCACGCTCGACCGCTTTCGCGGATTCCGCGGATTCCGCGGCGCTCTCATCCTTGCTCGTCTTCTTTTCCTCGACAGCTTCGACTGTCAGAGCGTCCATGCTCTCCATTATGACGCTCTTCACGTCCTGCATCGGAAGATCGAAAAGTAACGTCAAAACGATTGACGCGGCTAACACTATTGCTAATTCCAGTAGATCGATCTGCAAACATGAAAATAATGCATTTATACGTAGGATCGTGTAAGAACGAGTAAATTTGTGATTTTTTTATTTACTTCGAAACGTTAATTATTAATTATAATTAGTTAAATTCAAGATTAAACGCTTGCATTGTTCTTCGTCTCTATGTTTAGTTAATATTTCTTTATTTTTGTCTTTCTCACACATTTTTTCTCATTTATACTAATTTTTCACATATGTACAATAATATTTTTATTGCATATCAAATAATTCTAAATGTAGCTGTCTGATTCTGAGTTCTATTTCTTTTTTATTGTTGATTTTATTTTCTAATTTTTTAATTATTTATATTTTTAAGATCATAAAGAAGCAACATCAATGAAAGACAATAAGGAGAAACGGTACATTTAACGTGAATTGAACGTGATATTTTCATACGAGGCGCCTTAAAAATATTTCCGCTTCGATCGCGCGCGACTTACTGATCTGTGAAGCTGAAATTCCGTGGAAAATCTCGTGGTCCCGACATTGTAGAAAAACACCGCGAATTGCGTCAAGTACACGGCGTACGATATCCTGCTGAAGATTATCAGCCAATAATTGGAGAGAAATCTGTCGATGGCACCTACATGGAGCGTTATAATTATGTCAGTGGGTTTTATCTATTGATCAGCAATCCGAATTATCATTAATTGCATTAACAACCGACCTCCGTGTTCCGTGAAACAGGCAAATATCAACCAGCACAGAGCCACGGCCCACAACACCGGTCCGATCACTGCGTAGTGCGCTGCCTCTTCAACGTCGTATACGTAATCTCGTCTGGCCTGGTGCCAGGGTGAAAATAACGACCATGAACCCAAAGCCGACGCGATTAGCCAGCCCAAGATCACTAACACCTGAAATTAGGACGTTACCGCGAGATTCGCACAACGACTTCCGCAAACAGCGCCCAAAAGTTACCTTGTGAATGCGGACGTTCTTGCCGGTGTAATGCAACAGCACACCGAGGCCGACGCCGAAAACATACGGCGTGGCTCTGTGCAACGGCAACGCGTATGTTAAATTTGCTGTCCTGTAAAGGCGCTTCAGCCTGCAATCGAGAGAATATATTAGCCAAATCTGCGTTACAATTAAGATACTTGAGATATACTCACGAAATCCCGTGGAAAATGACGAGAGACAAATAATTGTTGATTGTCGCTATGTAACGGAGCGTGGCAGATAACAAAATGAGAAAGATGATTAGCAAAACACCAATTAAGGGTTTATATTGCAGGAAGAAGACTAGAATGGGTGCTGCGAACGACAGCTGCATGTCCAGAGCTAACTGATGAGTATGCGTGGCGCACTGCAAAGGTGTTATTATTGGTGAGTTGATTATTTAATTCAACATTTATTTAACATTTGTTTAATCCTTGGATACATAACTGGATAATAAAAACTTGCCAAAATTTGAATAACAGAAAGATAGTTAATAAATTCATAAATTTCTTACTTAATTTTATAATATTTTTAATATTTTCTCAAAAAATTATTGAAAATTAATTTTAACAAATTTAAAAATGGAATATTATCAAAGATAACCTTTGGATAATCTAAACATTAATCAGAAGTACAAATTTATTTGCAAAGATATTGGAAATGTCACAAAAACTTAAATACTAGATCTCGAAGACTTTGTTGTGTATCCAAGGATTTAAATGCCGCTATCGTATACGTACCATTTCTTCGAACGGAAAGAAATTCTGCACGTACAGCAGGTTCGTCCACGCGTTGTACTTGCAGAGTTCCGCGTTCGCCGTGATAACGTTGTTCCACTGCGGTCCCGAACCGACGTGTTCCATAACGAAAGCGTACCAGAACACGATCGCGAGCAACGCTGGCGAAAGTCTGGAAGCCAAATTGAGATAATTGATACACCTTTTTGTGCGAGCGGAATAAAATTGGAACGGATTTTGGGTCAGCGTACCTGATAAATCGGGCGATAAAACGGCAAAACCAGCGAATCTCACCGCGATTCTTTAGCTCCTTCGCCATGTTGTAAGCGGTCAGAACGCCGCTTAACAGCAGAAACGCGTCCGTGTAAACTAACGATACTCGCATAACAGAACTGGCCGGGCTGTTGGCGATCTGTTCAAATACAATTTAATCGACGGCACCGGAGTATGCCAGAGTGTTATAAACCAAATGCGGATTCCGCCCGGCGAATCTTACCTCGGTAAGAGAAATACGGTTGCTAAGCGGTATCCGGGAGATTATTATAACCTGATGAGCGACATAAAGAGCGATCGTAGCCAACGCTCTTATTCCGTGGATACACGTAATATCCTCGGTACCCGTCGCTTCCTTCAATAAGGCTTTAATGGTCCTCCGTAAGGAAAATGACATGATTATCCTTTCAGAATAATTTCCTGCGAAAAAGATACGTGTATTATGCCGTAATCGCTGCTTTATTGAGCCGAAATCGTCTTGTAAACATAATTGTAGTTCTGCAAGACATTAATTTTTAACATTACCTTTTCCTTGCGTTTCCACGAGGTAATCCCTCGCAGTCGCTACAATTACGAGACAAACAATCATGGCGTAAAAATATCTACAAAGTGAAATGGCAGCGTGAAAATTTATCCATCGTATTTCTTTGTTATGTAACGAAAGGGTACGTACAAGACGCCGATTGTCTCCTTCGAGTAAGCTTGAGACTTCTGTTTGACGTAACACATATTTGAATCGACGTTCACTGTAAATTTAATTCCAATGGTTCCATTGTATTCTTCTAAAGCACTCTCGAACGCACGTTCAGCATCATTAGCGGAACACGCTGCGGGCAGGCATAGCGCCCAATTAATTGTAGTGAACTTTGGAATGAAATGACCTGGCTGAAACATTTAATGGATTGCTAAAGAATTCTTAATTCAGGACGAATTGCTTTTCAATTCGGAAACAAAGTGTTATCAGAAACAATAGAAATCCACCAAATTTAGAGTAAACTTTTAATTTTCGAAATTTATAATTATTCACAAAATAGATTTTTATTATTTATTTTTTCTAAAAGATATAATGTTTAATTTTCTCTCATTTTTTTTTTAATTAAGCAAAACTTACGTCGTTCATGTTTCCGCGTATAAAGGCGCGAGCTTGCATTAGATTGACCGGTAACTTCATATCTGGATGCGAAGCGTACAAGTCCACAGTAGCCAAGCAATATTTCCCTTGAATTCTTATCGTCTTCTCATCTATTTTGACATGCGTCAACACACCCAAGCATTGATCGTAATCCCCGAGCTGATTCATGTTTCCTCGCAGCAAGCCTGACGGAATCTTAGCGCTCGAATCTAACACTGAAAGCAAGATGGGTTTTTTGTCAATTTGTTTAAGTGTTTTTTTTTTTTTTTTTTTTTTTAACCAGAAACTAATTATTGCGTTCTATATTTATATCATTTATATAAGTGTGAATCTCCGGTTGAAGCTTCTCGATAGGTGTCGATAATATCAACGTATTTCTTTCAAGTAAATTATTAGAGGAATATTGAACACCTTCTAACTGAGGCAATAATGACTCTGGCTCGTCAATGCGAAAATAGAATGAACAGTTATTTCTGTCAATCGACTCACTTTGCAGCGCCCACAACTTGTAACCTCTCAATTGTCGCAGGAATATCTTGCCATGTTGCTGACATTCGGGATTCTCAACGTTCGTAAAATTTGGCACGAAGGTCGGCACATGCAGAATTGCATCATTCAGTTCGGACAATGTAATAGATGCGTCTGTAGGCTTACTCGTTTTCGGCTTCGTCTCTCGCTCTAAAAGAATATCGCGTAATTAACCAGTTAATTATTGCAATTTTTTTCAACATAAATCCCACTTTGGAAAGCAGAAATGTATCTTTGCTTGTTTTTATCGGATGTTTAAAAGCGCACTTGAATTTTCACTATTAATATATTACTTTTTTAAGAAAGCTATTTAATTTTTTCTACAAAAATTATTTAAGGGGAAATGATTAAAGAACATTTGTACGCAAAAGATAATGCAGCGTAGAATAACAGGATTGCACTATCGATTGCATATTACTTTAGATAGATTGTTATCTAAAGTTCTATCACTAATGCAATAGCTGTTTACGCGGGAAACACTAAGGCCAAACTCGCTTTTCATATTGAGAATCGTATCTTCACATAATACTCACTCTCCGCTTGCGGAACTTGCTTCGATTTTGAAGTTGGTTTCGCTGTTACTTTTTTCACATCCGCTTCCTTCGCTCGCTCCTTGATCTTCGGCGCAGGTGTTGAAGTTTCCGGTTTCACGCGCGTTTTCGATTTCTCGTCTACTTTTGTTGCGGTTTTAGGAGTTTCGGCCTTAGGCTTAGGAGCAGCCGGTTCAACTTTCTTCGTACTTTCAGATAATTTTTTGGCACTTTCGTCTGGTTTTCGCGCAGTCTCGATTGATTTCTTCGTACTTTCGACTGGTTTTTTTATACTTTCGATTGGTTCGGATTTCTTTGGTTTTTCGATTACTTTCTTCACGCTCTCAACTGCTGGTTTTGCGATATCGGCTGATTTTTTATCTTCTTGTTTTGGTTTTTCCTCATCACCTTTGCTGGGCAACATTTTAGCAATCTTAGCCTTATCTTTATCGGCAAGCCTCACTTTCTCTAACTTTCTAGGTGCTGGGGTAGTTTCTTTTGCATCATTCTTTTTATCTTCATCTTTGTCATCTTTGTCTTCGTCATCGTCGTCTTCGTCGTCTTCGTCGTCTTCGTCGTCTTCGTCGTCTTTGTCGTCTTTGTCGTCTTTGTCGTTTTCGTCGTCTTTATCATCTTCGTTGTCTTCGTTATCGTCACTTTGCAAAACCTGAATTTTGTCTTTATCTTGTTTTTTATGCGGTGTACCAATTTGTTTTTTTAACGATTCTGTTACTTTTTGGGTATCTTTCTTTGTTGTTATTCTTTTCTCTTTTTTTTCTTCCTCCTCATCATCCTCATCCTCATTATCCTCATCATCCTCATCCTCATCCTCATCAGATTTAGTGTATTTCGCCTTTTTAACAATTTTCGCAGTTTTAATTTGCATCTTGGTTTCTTCTATTTTTTTCTTCGGATCTTTTTTAAGAATTTTTTTGCCAATGTTTCCATCTTTATCATCATCATCATCATCTTCATCATCATCGTCATCTTCATCATTATCTTCGTCATCTTCGTCATCATCTTCGTCATCATTCTCACTTTCATCATCATCGTCGTCACGAGCGAGCTCCTTCTTCAATTTCTCTTCCTTGTCCTCAGCATCTGATACCTCAGCTTCAGAGTCTTCTTCCTCTTCTTCGTCATCGTCTTCTGTTTTATCCGTCTGATCTCTTTCGGAATCCACCGATTCATCCTCCTGTTCGTCTTCCACTTCCTCTTCGTCGTCATCGTCATCGTCGTCGGTTACCTTGATATTCTTTATTCTGGAACCTTTTGGCGTACGTCCAGTTGCGCTCTTGTCTCTTGGATGTTCGACGATACTCTCGACACCTGACGACTCGGCAGGTGGTTTCCGGTCGCCGGCGACAGTCCGCAACTCCTGCCATTTTCGCGTCGGTCCCGCGGTCGTCGTCACCGTTTTCTCCGCAGGACAGGCTTTACCGTGCGCGGGTGTACAGACAGCCGGATGTGTCTGCGGCGTAATGTCCCGTATCCGGAAGCCATAGCAAGTGGCGTAGAGCAGCACGACGAGGCCTAGCAGCGCGACGCACTTGCCCAAAAGGGCGACAGCCATGACAATGCGCCCTTCACATGGAAAAGGCGAGAACCGGACGTTGCTTGTGAGGCTTGATCCACCGTCCGCCGATGATGCTGTCTCCGGCTTTGGTCGACACGCAGCAGCGAGAGCGTCCAAGAAGCCCAAGGCGAACGGCCTGGCGTTTTTTTCACCCGCTACTCCTCCGTCTTCGATCCCGTGGTCCTTCGCAACGACGAAAGAATCACTAGATCGATCGGCGATCTATCGCACGCGCTCGTCGCCCTGCGACGTGGCAGACCCCGGGCCACCACGTCCACAGCCGGCCGTGCCTTCGTGGAAATTAGAGCGCGTGGCATCGGCCCAAGCAGCTAGGAGTTTTATTTAGCATCAACATTTCGAGGCGGTCGACCGCCAGCTGCGGCTGTAGCGGCCTCTTCCGTAGCTACCGCTGTGTCTACGCGCCATGCGGTCCGCCCGGCACGGATTTATTACGCAAGGCATCGAAGAAGGGTCCGTGTAATTACGGCGATGCGCGTGCGAATAATAACCGAGCAAAAATAATTTTTTATCGCGGAATAATTTTAATAATTTGCAATTTTGGAAGCGGCACATAAGGCGAAAGCGAATTCCGCGTCATCTCATCTCTGGTGCTCCGGATCTCGATTCGTATAATTTTGCGGCGAGGCGGCAATAAATGCCACTGAGGGACATTTTGAGTTGGCAGTAATTTCTGAACTCTAAATATATTTGCGAGTATTATCTGTGAAAAAGATATATATTTAGTTTACAATGCTTGAGATTATTTACGAAAATACACAAAGATCAAATTCTTATGTTCTATCAGAAAGTCTTTAAATTCTTCGTTAAAATATTACGTTCAATTTTTGTCACATAATTTTCGATAAATTTACATCGCACTGTAGATTTCTCTTAAATATTTTTATAATCATGGTTCTTGCACGAAAAAATATTGGCATGATGAATAATATTTATAACAGATTGAAAAAAATATGTATCTATAATTTAGATATCTTTAATAACATATATGCAATCTTATTTTCCAACTTGATCGCATCATTTTCGTGTCAATGAGATATAAATTTCTGTTAAATAATCCATTTAATCTGTTGGTTTATTGACTTTATTATAAATATTTTGTTGCGCTTATCGAATATTTTATGTAGGCAAATTAAATTATTATAAATTCAGATACGATATATCGAAATCATTAATATTAAACCCAAGAAAGTTGAATGAATTCATAAAAATATTTATTCAAATTTACTTTATCGTTGCATTCGCAATCAGTTATGTTTATATAAATAAACATGTAATAATCAAAGTATCTGATTGTGTTATATATTCATATTATAATGCTGTGGGAATTGATGTGTTAAAATATGAAAAGGAAAAATGCCCTTCTTCTATTTGATTAAAGGAAAATTTTCTGGATTTAATTGGTTCTTTATATATGTGTGTTTTATATTTTTAATTATGTCGAAATATAAACAGTTTTCGTTTTTTAAGCGACAAATAATAAAATTTTAATATGACTTTTGTTACTGCGATTGTATTCAAATGAATGCGATTATACTCGGCGATCGCAATTATTTATTCATAGTCCTATTTAGGTCGTGGGACAGCAATGAACGAACACGTTGATCCGCTTAGTGCGAATTTAATCAATCTCAGCGGACAACGGTGGCGAAATTTGCGCACAAAGCTCGCACCCCAACTTCGCGAACAGTAGAATCCGACACATATTCGGATTATTCGTAGATGTGTCGGAAAAGTTTAAGGCACTGCATATTTTTTTAATAATAGATTTATCAAAACATCTCTTTAAAGTGCTTCAGATAAATTTAATAATTAAAAGATGAAAATAGAATAGTAAATATAACGATATTTTATACAATTGCATCTTCATGCGATGATACAATTTCATGCATCATTTTTCGAGGCTGCAAGTCTTGCATTAAATTAACAGAAGCTGTCTAATTTAATTTGTAAAACAATACACAATTGTAAATGTGAATATAACTTAAATTTCTAAAAATTACATAATTTATTTACGTTTGTTCAAATCGTTTATTTAGAAAATATATAAAAAAATTTAATTATTTCCATTTCAATTATCGTGATAATAATTTCATCATAGCACAGTTTTATATTTTTTTCTAGCTGATTTAAACATTTAATACATCGACGACAATGGGCTTTGTCATGTGTATGAATGAGTTAGCTTAATCCTAAAATTAAAAAAAATTGTACGAGGTACGTGCCAGGTATGAGAAACATGGCTGCTTTTTGTGCAATCAGAAATATCTCGATCGCGTCATCTAGGGTGATTTTGCATTCGAATGGAAATTCCAATGATTGAATGAAAATACAAGTGTACTCGCGAAATGCACCGCGTATCGTACAATTCACGAAACATTTCCAGCACCAAGAGCAGTCGCTTCTGTAGTAGCCAGCAAGATCAATAGTCGGCCAGTTATCAGCGACTGATTATTGGTCCGACATTTCTTAGTTAAAATTAAATATCATAATTAAATATAAAATGTCAGATAAAAAAGGCAAATTATATTTTTATTAATAGTTTTTTATTTATTATATTTATAGCTTATAATATAACTCTTATAATCTCACTTGAAATCTCAAGATGATATATTTTACATTTGCACGAAAAAATCTTATCAAATAAGATTTCGACAAGATTATTTTCAATGGTGTCTATTTCAGTAATTATAATATGTTTCTGTTTGAATATTTTCATTAAAAGAAAATAGAGTATTTATTATTATTTACTGAATGTAAAAATGTACAAGAATATCAATATTTTTTATATATTTATCTTTGCATGTAACATACTAATCGTATTTCATATCGAAGATAGCATTTCGCATAATCAGTCACGTTCCGCAAATAATCTAATAAATCTTGATCTAGTAGAGATTAGATTAAATTGCTTGCACCACTTTATTTGGGAAGATTTATACTTCTTTTAATTTGCGTTTTATTTATACACTTTGGGAAATTTATGAAATTTCTTAACGCTTAGATTACCAAGGGTTTCAGTGATTCCATACGGCAAATATTACAAAGAATCGATTCTTATAATAGATTTGCACAAATGTGTGTCTCAGGAATAAGAAATTGTATTAAACATTTGAAAAATCAAATTTAGTACACATGTATGTCGTGAAAAATCCGGATGTGCGTTATCAATGATATACATATATTGTAATCCAAGTGTATGCGTCAGTACATTATAGCGTATCCAAATAAATTCTGCTCTATACGTTCATCCAAACGGTACGATCGCTCGTGGAGAATGAGAATTGTCAGTTGCACGCGAAAGAGAATGTGAAAGAGCGCGGATCCGTTTTTCCTAGCCGCGGTTGATACCGATGGCAGAGAGGAAGGCGAAAGCCTCTTTCTCTTGAAGATAAGCGAGGCTTCCCCGAAAGGGGGTATTAGCTCGGCTGCGGGAGCTCCTCCGATCTGGAGCCGGCATGGGAGTGAAGTGAGAGAGGCTTTATAAATGCGTATAGCGTACATTCATGACTTTCAGTCGGTGGGAGGTCAGTCTTTCGACGAGAACGATACGACGCACACACGCGTAGAATATAGATATATCATTCTTTTCTCTCTCTGTCGTTCTTCGCCTTTCTCCCTCCCGTCCTTTTCTCACCGTTCGCTCTTCTTCGCCGCTTCGATCACGACGACGATAGCACACTGCGTCATTACACGCGCCGTTGAAAAATCGCGAAAAATTTATGCAAATGTTTTTTAGTGTGTCACGATATTTTTGTGCTCTCTTTATGCCAAGTCAGATCAGTCGAAGCGGTTTGAGCTGTTAGGTTCGTCGGCCCCTAGAATGCAATCGGCCAGTGAGTGAGTGAGCGTATTTTCAGTGAAGAAACGAAGTTTCTGATAAATAATTCGCATCGTCACAGTACAGACCACAAAAATGATTACTCGAACGGAGTAAAAGTTGTCGCTTACCTGAATGTGCGAAAAATTTGAAATATCATTGAAGAATATTTGAAGAAAGTATACACATGCTGCATTTCAAATTCTTTCTTCATAGAACGCTAACTTTTTCAAGTGGTTTTATATTAAACTCAAAAGAAGCAAATTATAAATTTGCAATATCAATATTTAAAATAAAATTAAAAACTATTAGCTAAACGCAATAAAACAGTGATTATAAAGATATAATAGAAATAAACGCTTTAATCAGCTGATAAACTAATCGAGGATGATTTAATCTTTATTTTAAATTATTATGAATTTAAAAAATATTTTAACAAAAATAATTAAACTAGAAAATGTAATGTAAATAAAAATATTAAATATTGCATAACATATTTTTCATATAATGTGCGATATTCCCACGATAGAGAGTCATGTGATTGAAAGAAAGTGATTTAATCTTCGCTGAGAGAATATTCTTGTTAAAGCAACGAGTTAAGAAGTGGTCTCACGTAGAACTCTCTCCATTAAACAGCTGTGCGAGTGTTTATGTATGTATCACTATACTCGTGTGTAATCTGGATTTGTTGATGTAAACGCAGTACAAGTGTGAACGCGTTATAATCTCTCGTCTGCATGCTCTTTTGTGTAACATAGAGTACATTTAGAAAACAAATTTAAAAATAGACCTCGATAATCAAACAGCCGCACCTGCATTGCGCTAAGGTTGCAATTCAGCGACTTTAACAACCTTAAATCAATGCACCTTAATATAACAACTAAAGAATATTATTTGTACTAATAATTAGTTAACACTGAGGAAAAATAATAAATTATCTTTAAAAAAAATTATTTTTAGGAAGAAGCTACTTCAAACTTGTAAATCGAGTTGAAATTGAAGATGCTGGCTATCGTGGCGCTACTATTACATCCTTTCCTGCTTATCGGACTCGTCCTCGGCAGTCTGTACTTTTATCTCACGGCGACCTTCGATTTCTGGAAATGTCGCGGTGTGCCATACAAAAAGCCGACTGTGCTGGTCGGAAACTTCGGTCCTCTGCTCCTATTTCGACAGTCGCTACCGGAAGGCGTCAAAGAGATGTATCAATGGTTCAAGGATGAAAGGTTCTTCGGCGTCTTTCGCGTGAGATCGCCCGCGTTGATCCTTCGCGATCCCGATCTGGTGAAAAGTATATGCATCAAGGACTTCTCTTGCTTTCCGTATCGTGGGATTCCGATCAATAACGAGGTACATAGCACTGTCACTAGAAGTTCTTTATTTTCTTTTTTTCTTTGGAAAAAAAATAATTCCTCTTTCAAAATTTTAATCGACAATTTTAAACGTTTACAATAAAAACTTTGCCGCTAAGTTTTATAATCCTGTTCGTCCTTAATCGCATGTCAGGATCCGCTCAACGAGCACCTGTTCCACCTCGAAGGGCGCAAGTGGAAGAGCCTGCGGTCGAAATTAACGCCCGCCTTCTCGTCCGGCAAGCTGAAGCGGATGTTTTACCTGCTGGTGGAGTGCTGCGAGGAGCTGCAGAAGCTCATCAGCGCGAGCTGCGCCGCGGATCGCACGGTCGAAGTACGGGAACTGGCGACGAAGTTTACCATCGACGTCATCGGGAGTTGCGCCTTCGGCATACAGATAAACGCATTAACTAACGAGGAGTCCGAGTTTCACAAGGCGGCGAAGAAGCTCTCGAGGCCGAGCTACAAAGCCACCCTCTGGAGGATGCTACGTACGGCGATGCCGAGGCTGTACAAGCTATTGGGCGTGCAGGTCATCGACCCGAGCGTCACTCACTTCTTCAAGGATGTCGTGTCACAGGTGATCAGCCAGCGGGAGAGCAATGGTGTGAGGAGACACGATTTCATGGATCTGCTGCTCGACCTGAAGAACAAGGGCGCGGTGGAGAACGAGACCGGAAGCGCGCAGATCTGCAGCGACGAGGATGCCCAGGCGGCGAAGGAAATCGGTAAACTGCACGTATATTCCGCGCGAATGTCGTACGTTATTTATTTACATAAAGCTGAAAACATTATTTTTAGAATTGGACGAGAACGCTATTGCCGCGCAAGCATTTGTTTTCTTTGCCGCTGGCTACGAAACATCTTCGAACACGATCGCATTCTGCCTTTATGAGCTTGCCTTAAACCAGGAGATTCAAGAAAAGACTAGGCGAGAGATCCGCAACGCCATAAAGCCGCTAGGTGGAAAATTAACTTACGACACGGTACAAGAGATGAAGTACCTCGACATGGTGATATTAGGTACGAATCCAAAGTAATATTATTGACGAGAAATCTGAAGGTAATAAGATTTAAATCTGACGCTCTCGTATTTTCATTAGTTACCACGTTTTCCTACGTTCGTAACGTTTTACTGCGTTTTACAGAAATGGAATTTTTGCAAAAAAAAAAAACGCGAAAAACTAATTTATTTCAACGGAAAAAAATTTAATGCGACTTTTTGATGTTAATTTAATATGATTGCAACGAAAAAACCAAGAGTTTCGTCGTTAAATTTGAAGATAGACATAATTATCTTTAGCCGATTTATTGACAAATTGCGAAAATGGAATATATATTCCGCTTTTCATGAGATAAAATTCATATTCGAGTGAGTTTGCTGCAGGCAAAACTTGAAATAAAATATTTATAAAATGCATAGAGACATTGAGAAAGTATCCATCAGCCCCGCTGCTTTCACGCAAGTGCGCGTTTAAGTACCAGATACCGAACAGCAAAGTGGAGCTGCCAGCCGGCATGCGGGTAATCATACCGATTTATGGATTTCATCATGATCCGAATTATTATCCCAATCCAGCTAAATTCGATCCCGAGAGATTCACGGAGGAGAACAAACGCACGAGACATCCTAACACGTATCTGCCGTTCGGAGAAGGGCCACGAAATTGCATAGGTACCGATTTTTATTTATTCTCTCTCAGCCTTTCTCATATTTCTTAAAACTCTCTACTGCGTATTGTAAGTTGAATTTTAAGTGTATATATAAAAATAAGAACTTAAGAAAGACTTTAAGTCTTCAAAAAATCGTGTAGTTTTTGATATATAATAATTTTTTTATTATTAATAATATGGTTTTCCTTAACAACAAAAATAATTATCAATGTTAACGATCTCTTTGGCGAAATGAGGAAAACTCCGTCGAAATTTGATGATTTAAAAATTTATCGAAGTGATCTAATTTAGCAAAGTTAATCAACTTCGCTTATCCAAACGTACTTCCGGCGACTTTTGGACTTGCGCGTTGTTTAGGTACGCACGACTACTTAGATTCTAATTCTTGTATCAGGAGTACAAATTAGTTTGGTCCGTTTTTTTGTGTTCAAAAATGCATTTATTTCAAAACAAAATGAATGAACAGATTAATCTAAGTATTGTCCATCGCTGGCTACTACTTTTTCCCATCTCTCAACCAATTTTTGAATTCCATCTCGAAAAAATGACTCGTCTTTGGAGGCGATCCAAGTTTGGAGCCAATTTTCGATTTCTGCGAAAGAAGTGAACCGGTGACCTGCCAAATCGTGCTGCATCTTTTGGAACAACCAGTAATCAGAAGGAGCAATGTCCGGAGAATACGGCGGGTGCGGTAAAACATCCCATTTGAGCGTTTCCAAATATTTTTTTACGACTTTTGCGACATGAGGCCGAGCGTTGTCATGAAGAAGAATAACTTTATCATGTCTTTGCTCGTATTCCGGCCGTTTTTCTCGCAATGCACGGCTCAAACGAACCAATTGAAGCCGATACCGATCGCCCGTAATGGAATCGCCAGGTTTCAGCAGCTCATAGTAAACAACACCCTTTTGGTCCCACCAGATACAGAGCATGATCTTCGAACCATGAATGTTCGGCTTTGATGTTGATGTTGAGGTCGATGGCAACGATTGACCGGGCTTAGCGCAGTATTTTTTCCTCTTGGGGTTGTCGTAGAATATCCACTTCTCATCTCCAGTCACAATCCGATGCAAAAAATCTTTTTCTTGTTGCCTTTGAATCAGCAGCTCGCAAGTGAAAAATCGCCTTTCAACGTCTCTCGGTTTGAGTTCATAAGGCACCCAATTTCTTAGTTTTTGTATCATTCCCATGGCTCTCAATCGTACAGAAACGGCTTGTTGAGTTACTCCCAATGATCCTGCAAGCTCTTCTTGCGTTTGACTCTGATCTTCTTCGAGTAATGCCTCTAATTCTTTGTCTTCGAATTTTTTTGGCTGTCCAGAGCGAGGCTTGTCTTCAACGCTGAAATCTCCATCCTTGAAACGTCGAAACCATTCCCTACATGATTTATCAGTTGGAGCAGTGTCACCATAAACTTCGACAAGCATTCGATGGGCTTCAACTGCACTTTTCTTCCAATTAAAGCAGAAAATTAAAACCTCCCGCAAATGCTGCTTGGTTAGCACAAAATTCGACATTTCGAACACAGTAAAAATCAAGGTTTTTGTATGAAACTCAAAGCGATATAAACTGAATATTATTAGCAGATGTCTAACCTCTCTGAAACCGCCAAAATCTGCTGTCACTATGAACCATTCACAACAATAAAGTCTGCTATAAATGGTATAATTATCTGAATAACAAATTAAGCGGAGTCTATCCGGAATTTATAATATGCTGACTCAACGAGACGTTACGTCATACGCTTGCGTCTTTAAAATAAAATAAAGGCTTGTTATTCCGGTGACCACCTTGAGAATAGCGAATTGAATTATTCGCGATGATAAGAAATTATATCTGTGAAATTTACAAACGCTATTATCTCACTCGATCATCTAATCGATTATGTTTTCTTTCTTATCTCGGTTATTTCGCCATTCTTATTTTCTAATTAACTTACTAAGAGCATAATAACATTCTGGAATTACGTTTAGCTTGTTATTTTTATCACTTATTAATTTTATTAATCATTGCCGCATAAGAAATTACACACTGGAAGTCATGTGGGAAATTTATCGTTCAATAATTCTGTTAATAGTTATTTATTCAAGAAACAAGATGCGGATCTGCTTGAGCGTGCAAATTTATGCATTACACAGGACGTCGACCGTGATAGTATGCGCATAAAACTTTTCGCAGAAAACGTCCGTCCCAATTCCGATCCATCCTGATAAGCGCTTGCTTCGAAAGCGATAATTCATTATTAAACAGCTACCGTGACCGATACATCATAATCACTCAAGTGACGCATTCGATTATTTTGCAGGAATGCGATTCGCGTTGCTGCAAATCAAGATAGGGATAATATCGTTCCTCAAGGATCATCAGGTCGAGATTTGCGACAAATCGATCGTACCAATAAAATTCAGCAGACGGAGTCTCGTGACCACAAGCGAGAAGGGATTTTGGCTCGCCATTACTCCAGTTTCCTAAATCTGTAGATTTAAAAAAAAAGCATTTCTTTTAAGGTATTAAAATATTTAATGCCGAGAAAAAATGGTATAATTGGTCAGATGCAAATATATATAATTATGGAAAGATCTAATAACATATGTAATTTTATATGTGATTTTACATGATCAATAATATTACATGTTATCAGATTCTTTTCATAACTAATTATATATATTTACATTTGACCATATTATACCATTTTTTCTCGGGATATTAAATTTAATATATTTTATGTATAAAATTGTGCTATGATATATAAACGTGCTTAATTCGGCAAAGATGGAATATCAGCTGACATTTGTTTTGTATAAATTGATTAGAATTTTTATTTATTAAGTGGCTCGTTTACTTATAAGTAAATTTAGTTTCTATCGTTTTTTTTGAGAGACCTCGTTATTTTATGCTGTAAATTCTAAAAGCGGCTTTAATTTCTATGAAAATAGCGTTCTTTTTATTTTTGTATTTATAAAAAATATATTTATATATATGTGCTACGATTTTAAATACTGCGTTATTAAAATAAATTTTATTGTACGTAACACACGCAAATGTTATACTTAATCTGCTAATATAGAACAGTAGTAAACATTTTTATCTTACTATGTAACTATTTTTTAAATAGAGATAAGCTTCTCAATTGTCGATACAACTTCGTAGTGGATCACCTAATATAAACAAATAGATTGTAAGTTACAAGCATAGCTACGTATTGCTATGCGCTCGTATATACAAGAGGAGATATAGATAGTCTGTCGCGACGTGCTATGAAAACGGAACTCCTAACTGTTCGCAATCCTACGCACTCCATAAATTGAATCGGCTGTAATCAAATAAGGCTCGTTGGTGGAACGACTAATCGGAGCGCGCGGTACGAAGATCCAACTGCGCATTTACTTGTTAGAGACACTTTCAATAATAATAATCTTTTTTGTAATGATGCATTTGTCGACATTGTTCACGGCCACGAACGCCTCATCGCGTCTAAAACATCTGTGCAATCTTTTTTAAGCGACAATTATAATGCATAAATAATCTAAGAATAATGTGTACGATCCAAATTGTTTGAAATTAATGTAATATCAATGTGTTAAAACATTTTTAGTGCACAAATTTTAGAAACAACGAAGCGGGGACCGTATGATGCCCTTTTCTACTCGAATTGAGTATTTCGCAGTCAATGCATTCGACGCGCATGTGCGAAAAAAGCGTGGCGGACCCGTTAATCGAGCGAGAGGAAAGACGGAGGGAAAGAAAAACAGACAGAGAAAGAACAAGAGCGAGAAACGCGTTTCGAAAGCACCTGTCAGCAAAACGTTTCCTTGGGAATAATGCCACGGTGAGCAGTCCACCAATTTTAAGAATCTTACATACGCGTGTTGCACATGACGGAAGTGATAACGCGGCCTTTTAAACGCAGTCGCCACGCATTATCGCGTAGCTCCTGTTCTTATCGCTGCACGCGTGTTATACATTACATTCGTGCTCAGTAGCGTACGTATCGCTCAGGCATTCTGGAGTCCGTGAGTCCCGAGGGAGATCCGTTTTGCCCGATTCCGTCCGCGAGATTCCCACGGTAATGTTTACAAGATGCCACAAAGCAACTCGGTCGAAGTGCACAATAATCGATAGATGCTCCTAAAACTGGCTCCCTCAAGCAGAATGATTGTTCACTTTGCTATATAACAAGCAGAAGTCTTCAAGTGTTATTACATCTCTCTGTATAGGTTAGAATGTGATTTATTATGTGCTGACGTGCTTCTATTTGGGTGATATTGAATGTACATTTGTGTATGTGTGTGTATATGTATGTGTATGTGTATGACATTACATTATTGGAGTAATGTTGCTCTAATGATAAATGTAACATTCTAAATATATGGTTCAATGCTACAAGTATACTAAATGCAATTTTGCACTGTTTCTAGATGTCACGTAGGAGTGCCTGCGACCAAAGGACTGCGGTGGTTGACCATGAAAGACAGTTTCAGGAAGACTTGGAACGGGCTCAAGCCCTCAGTTTGGAAAGTTTGGCCTTAGAAAGATTTAGATTACAGAAGTTGGAGTCACAGTTTAATAATGTACAACAATCTTGCACTGCACAAAACAATGTATGCAATACAAACAGTACATCAGAATCAGATGGCTCGCAGGGAGAAAGGTAAATATTTATCAACACTCAATGTTTCTGATTTTAATCATTAATTACTCTTAATTGTACAAAATATATTATACTTGATAATATTTATTGACTTATGATCATTTTTATCTAATAAAAAACATATCGTTATTATGTGAAAGTAAAGTTAAATAATCTATTGTATGTGGTATGTGCAGATCCCAGTGCAGAAGTCGACCAAGACCAGGATCCATTAACACAAATCAAAAGAGTACTGCAATATTAGCACCACCTCCAATACCATGTAGGAGAAATTCGACAACTACTGTAGCAGGTCAAGATGTTACTGATTTAATCAACTTTACAAGCCCTGTGAAGCAGGATAATCTGGCCGAATACTGTTCAGCACCACCTCCACCACCACCGTAATAAATATATTTAATTAAAGCAATTTTTTAATAAAATTGTCAGTATTTTTCAATGCTTTTTTTGGAATTATTTTATTTTATTTGTATATTTGATAAGTGTATCTATATTTTAATTTTGATATGTCTGTCAAGTTATTTTTCTTTAATTGAATTTGTCATCATATTTTACTTTTGCATAAAATATTATACTAACATGAAAATGTTTTATTGCAGGAAAGCACCAGTAGAACCTAAATGGGATACACATCCATCTTTATTGAAGAAACAATCAAGAGTATCTCGAAGTAATAGTTCAGTTGGTGCATATCATTCCAGAGATTTCAGATATCATTCTCTTTCTCCAGGCCCCCGATCTTCCACAGCACCATGTACGCCAGGAACACCTGGAACGCCAGGAATTAGTCCTGTAATGTCAAGAGCTAGTAGTGTTAGCAACAATGTACCTGATATTGCACCACAGGTAATAAAGATTTCTACATTATCCTCTGAAATTAACATTCTCAATCCGTAAAGATATTTTTTTTTTTTTTATCAATATGATCCTTCTGAATACGGATTAATATATAAGAAAGTTTTGTTAAAACACAGTTTCTTTACAGCCTGCATGGAAATCTATGATCTTTAAATATTTTTTCTTTGGACAGGTATCTTACATCTGAAAAGTGTTTATTTTTTTTATACTATACTATTAGTGATATAATTTTTTTTATATAAACTGCAATCAATGCTTTAACACATTTCTAGTATATGCAAAGATATTTGCATTACATACACTTGCTAGCTAGCGAAAAATATACATCAATGCATGGCCTATATGAAGTTAGCCCCCCATTTTTCGATTTTGAATATTTTTTTAGTTGTTCTAGGTTGTTCTACGTTTGTTCTATATTGTTCCAAAGTTATGAGCAAAAAAATCGAAAAACATGACGGGCAAAGCAAAAAAACGATTTATTTTTGTGGCCACCCATTTTTTAAAAATTCAAATTTTTTTGCTGTTCTGGATTGTTCTAATTGTTCTAAACATTGTTCTAAAATATTAATATCCTTAAAAAAGAATTTAAAAAGATATAGCAAAAAATAGCATTAAGCGTCCAAATAGTATTTTTACATTTATCGCTATTATTATATTATGTTTTGACACCAAATTACATATTTAAGCTAAAAACGAATAGAACAACCCAGAACAACTCTCAGTTTTACCAGAACAAACATATAAAAAGCACTTTACTCTTGAAGGTAGAGAATTATTTTGTCTTTTTCAACCGATAATGTTACATCAGCGACACTAAAACCTAGAACAATGAGAAATAGACACAGAACAATCCGGAACAACTCTCAGTTTTGTCAGAACAAACGTTTAAAGAGCACTTTACTCTTGAAGGTAGAGAATTATTTTGTCTTTTTCGACCGATAATATTACATCAGCGACACTAAAACCTAGAACAATGAGAAATAGACACAGAACAATCCGGAACAACTCTCAGTTTTGTCAGAACAAACGTTTAAAGAGCACTTTACTCTTGAAGATAGAGAATTATTTTGTCTTTTTCGACCGATAATGTTACATCAGCGACACTAAAACCTAGAACAATGAGAAATAGACACAGAACAATCCGGAGCAACTCTCAGTTTTGTCAGAACAAACGTTTAAAGAGCACTTTACTCTTGAAGGTAGAGAATTATTTTGTCTTTTTCGACCGATAATATTACATCAGCGACACTAAAACCTAGAACAATGAGAAATAGACACAGAACAATCCGGAACAACTCTCAGTTTTGTCAGAACAAACGTTTAAAGAGCACTTTACTCTTGAAGGTAGAGAATTATTTTGTCTTTTTCGACCGATAATGTTACACCAGCGACACTAAAACCTAGAACAATGAGAAATAGACACAGAACAATCCGGAACAATTCTCAGTTTTGTCAGAACAAACGTATAAGGAGCACTTTACTCTTATATTTAAAAAAATAAAAAATTCAAAAAAAATTTTTATGTGTAAAAAAACCAGTACATATTATGAATAATATAGAAATAAACCTAAAAGTATATGTATATAAATAAAAACTTAAAATATATACATATATATATATATATAATAATTTTGCGGTTATAGATAATATAAACTCCAAAACCTTAAAATTATAAAAACTATAAAACTTAAAACTATAAAAAAATTTTTTTTAATTTGAAAACATTAAAAACAATTAAAAAACATTTTAAAAAATAAAAAATATTAAAACTCAAAAAAATTACAAAAACAATTTTTATAGAAAAAAAATCTTACAATTTTAATCAATTGTAGAAAAATTGGAATTGGAATTTAATTATATATACACGTACAAGACCTTAAGCGTGAGAGGTAAGAAAACTCACTTTAATCAAGCATTCCAAAAAGAATCTGGATCATTGATCTAAAGACGCATAAAATTAAAAGTTAAACATTTAATTTAAAGTAATGTAAAGTAAAATATCTTGGAAACTATACGTTTTTAAAACAAAAAAGAAAA